ATGCCTCAAAAACTCTCATAAACCATGAATCATGCTTATTTTATTTGTTTCGTAATTTTGGCAAATTACTAAAAAAAGGCTTCGTTGGATCAAACTGGATTCTTGTTTTGGGACGCACGCTTTTTGAAATTGGACTTTTTTTAGGTGGGAAGGGGACGGAGGGGGTAAGTCGTTCCAGAAGGTTTTGCTTCACTACTTTCTTTGAATACACCATTGTATTGTCCAAATAATACACCACCCCATATCAATTAAATCTTTTCCTGTTTTAGATTTTGGAATGTTTGCAAGCATAGCTGTGATATATGTAACCTTCTAATATTGTGCCCTTTTTTTTGTTCTCTTGTCCTTTTTCAATAAAATGAAGCCTGCTGTGCTGGATGCTCCATCCTCTGGCTTGGCAACTACATCAGCATTAATAAATTCTCAAAAGCCAATGTTAAGGTATCCATCCTTCTGTACTTTTTCGTTTACTTCTGTTCCAGTGTTACGTTGTTTATAAATTGGCACACAACTCATTACAGGCTGAGTTTCACTTCTTTGAGGAGAACTACCGAGAATGGCGCCTAATGCCAGACCGTCAGAGATGCTGGATATTCATTCACCTTTAATCTTGGGGCTTGCTACATGTGCGTGCTGATAAAAAAATCATGTAAATTAGCTTTTGTCATTTTCAAATAAATGTATCACTCTCCGTAAAATGACAAAACCTTTACCTTTCTCTTCTTTTTCATGCTGCCATTGTACCTTGTTGGTCATTGCTTGCTGGTCATTATGGGTTCATGATGAATTGAAAAACTATTTGTGAATGTTCAATAATCAATTGCTTCTTAATGTTAAGGATTTGTAAATATCGAACACTCTACTACGGTTCTATTTCTTTTTGGTATAACTATTTTTGACCATACATTATCACAACTCATTACATTCACTATATTTTTTATTGTTTTGGTAATGTATGGTCATGGTTGGCACCGTGAATGTACTTTAACTCTTATTTTGATATGGCACCGTGAATGTACTTTAACTCTTATTTTGATAATAAAAATATAAAACTTCTATTTTGGTTAGGGGTGTTCATCGGTCCAAGACTGGACCGACCTGGACCGAAATGAAGACCGAATTGATTAAAATCACGGACCGGAGATCGGACCTAAATCTATTCGGGTTTCCACTGGACTGGATCAAAATACTTAAGACTGAACCGGTCTGGATCGATTGGACCGAATAAAAATGCATTTTTTAAAATTATTTTGATCAATTAAATATATTTCATGTTTTGATGGTTAGTCTTTCAAAAAAAATTATTTTAGGCTTTTTATTTTGTAGCGTACAAACAGGAAAAAAATAGACAACTTAAAAACAGATACATAACATGGAATACTTCTATATAGAATAATAAAAACAAATTCTCAAAGTTTTTTTGAACTTTTTTTATAAAAATTTTTAATAAAAACTTTTTTTATTAAATAAATTAAAATATCTATTCAAGTAAAGTGTATTACGTAACTTACAAAGTAGAATTTACCTATTTAGGTCTTTAGTTACTCCTACAAATGTAGTTTTTTTAAAATAAGTGGCATAGCCGCTACACGCAAGGTAGTATTGATGACAGAGGTGAAACTGTTGTAGTATAACTCCCACGCCTTTTAGTGATTTTTAGATCTATAGTATTGATTATCTGGTTTGTGGTAGATTTTGTTGAATCTGGAAAGTTGGTTCTGTCAGGCTTGATTCTGTTGCTTTCAGTTTAAAACATGTTAAATACGTTCGTCTTCAAATGAGTTCTCCTCCGTTCTTTTATAAATTTGGGAACCGTGTTGTTCTAGCTTGAATCTCTTTGTATCAGTTTAAATCAGCAAGGTGTGTTGCTTTTTTTGTTGAAATTTGGCCTAGACTTGAATGCTTGTGTTCGAACTGTTCATATAGAATCCTGAAATTCTCTTCAAGTGAAGCTGTATATGAAAAATGTAATTCTGCCAGAAAATTGGCTATAAATCTGAAGCTGTGTTTCGAATCAGCATAAACCTGATTTGAACTTAGTGAACTTCCAGGCTTCCAGCTTGTCTCTATTTAATTTGCTATCACCATGAGTTTGTTGTCTCTCTTTTTTACACATTGAGTAGGTAAGTCTGCTCAGTTTGGTGTTGAGTTACTGAAGGCTGCCTTTACCTTTTGAAATCTGAGAATTATTTTTAATGTATTTTTAATCATGAAGATGAGTTTATTTATGGTCATTATCTTAGTCAAAACTCCATAAACTGTGTGTGAGTAATTCGGTTTGCAAAAATTAAACAATCAGATTTATAAGAATTAAATTTTTTAGACTCTCCTTGTGAATTCGGCCCTTGCTGGCTTCTAAACAGTCAGCTAGTGAGGTTAAATTTGAGTGCATCATAAGTAATCTACAGTTATTGTGAAGACATTTCAAATTAATTTGTACGAAAATGGTATAGCATGAGCTTTTTTCACCCCTTGCAATTTGTGTTTTTGGAGCTATGAAACAACCATCAACATAGTTACTCTTTTGAAGCACTATGCGTAACTCCAATATCCCAACTACGACTAACCATAAAGACCAAAAAGTAAAGCAAACAATAAAGAATTTATATATGGATATGGTTTAAGTCTTTTTTTGTTTTAAAGAACTTTCCTTGTTTAAACGTTTCACATTTGGTTCTATTTTGATATGATTTAAATAGGATTACGTAGTAAACAAAAAAGTGGGTGAAGTGAACGACACTTAAATCTTTATACTCGTATTATTTGTATCTCTTTGTTTAAGATGGAATAGTTTTTTCTCATTATTGCAAGATGCTATTTTAACCCCAACATTTGAACCCCAAGGTTTTACCCCAGTTTTACAAGCATTACACACAATCATAGTTATGAATGGTGACAGCCATGCTCGCCTATGGCGGTTATGGCGCTGATGCTCTAACGCCATTCTCGCTGCGTCTTATGGTGTTTGGCGAGCGTAATTCTCGTCATACAGATCTCTGTAAGTTTTTTTTGCTGTGAGCCTTAAGAATCGAATGGATTAATTAAATTGGGCTTAAGCCCGTTTGTAATTAAATGATTTGATCCATTGCCTCAAGTCTGTTCATCCATTACGTTAAACGATCGTATTCCCTTCCACTCTTTCGTCTTTTCTGCCGATCCTCTCTTCCAATCAACCATCAGTTCAGCTGATACGGACACGGACCCTAGGGTGAACGACGAAGAGACAATCGCGATTAGACGTTCAAAGAGGCACGTGGGACCGCCATGTAGATATCGAGATTATGTTTAAGTATTTTAATTATTCATCATGTACTTATATTTTTTTTAGGTGGACTAATTATAAGTTCATTTTAGGGTTTTTTTCGTTTCTTTCTTGAACCCACTAGGATTGGGGAACTTATGTATTTAAGGAGGTGGTTACTGTTTAACTCTCCTTAATCATCATAATACAAGAATTACTCCGTATTACAACTTCCCCTACTTCTCTTCTTTTCTCCCCCCTGCGCTACGGCGCCTTTCTCCCTTCCCTCGCCGCAAGGCTGCTCGACCAAGGTATACGTGGAAAGTAGTGTATATCATCAGCTTCCCTGCTTCGACTCTGCTCCCACTCTCCGAAGTTGCAGGTTTCTAGCGTCTCTCCTTCCCAGAGTCACAACTTTCGAGCATCCCTCCTTGGTCAGCGACTCAGTGCAGCAGCATCAGGTCACTACGGATATTATTCTTAATTTTTTTAATTTGTGTATTATTCAATTAATTAATATTAATAGTTACAATTTCTTTAGCTAATAGTTACCATTATATTTTCAATTTGTGTATTAATTTTTTTTAATTTACTGTTTAAGACTTTTTGATATGCCATGCATTATACACACACACATACATACATGTGTGTGTGTGTGTATATATATATATACATACACATATGTGTGTGTTTGTATTTATTTATTTATATTCGCTTTTTATTTGTTCGCCATTTGACCGCCCGCCACTCGCCACTCGCCATTCATAACTATGACACACATTTGACACTATTCCGTGTTTGTAACATGTGTAACACTGAGGTTAAACGATGGGGTTGAAATGTTGGGGTCAATCAAGCATAACCCCTCATTAATATCGTGGTCTGTACTAATTAATGTGACTACTCGTCTCTTCATGTACTATATTGGACACAACAACATTCTTTACATTTTAAAACTAAAGATTATTCCAGTTAGCTATAGCTGTGCAGTATACTGGTGTTAGTTCAGGGATGGCAGACCTTTAAAACACAACATATGATTTGCTCCTTGTGTTAATGGCTTTGTGTGATTCAAGTATTGTGTTTCTTATATCTTTCATTTTGTATGGTAAACATATATAGTTAATTGTGTGAATTTTCTTGAATCAGGATGAATTTGGAAGAGAGATTTAATGTTATTAGGAGCATAGGTGAAGAGTGTATCCAGGAAGACGAGTTAAGGAATTTGTTGGCAAATAAGCCTCAACCAATATGCTATGATGGATTTGAACCCTCGGGTCGGATGCACATTGCTCAGGTTTAGAACTCTTTCGTGCTATTTCAATGATACTATTGCAGGAGAAGGATTGTTTCAGAGCCTTTCTTGGCATTTTGTGTGTATGATTGGAAGTAGTTATCTTCTTACTACATATAAAAAAGATGATATCTTCCTCTTCTATGTATACTTTAATTACTCCGTTCATCCCTTTTTAATCTTACTCCCTCCGTCCCATATCTTTCTTCGCAGAGCACCATTCCAACTTTACAGGAACTTTTATTTATTTGCGTTTTTTCATGGCCTATATAATAAAATAAAATATTCTTGTTACATCTTGTTTTGTTGAACTTTTGATGTAGTTTTGAAATATGTAAATTTCATTTTTTATTTCTTTACCAATCTCATATAGATTGAAAAAATTTGGATTTTTTTCGTTTTGCGCAACGCGAAGAAAGAGATGGGACAAAGGGAGTATCATTCTATTCACAAGGTCAAGCGATATCTTTTCATACCAACTTTTTGTCATTTGTTAAATTAAAATAGCCATGTCACTTGTCTTGTAGAATTTTCTATGGAGTTTTTCAATATATAATTAAACATACCTATATTTAAATAAATAAAATTAAAAATAATTTTAGACAAATATTATAAAGCAAAGAAGGAATGTGAATAAGGAAAGAGGGAGTAATGCAGAGTTCAAGTACAATTAAATCCATACTCTAAATGACCAATCCACTCTTTTCACCCAAATGTGTTAAATTCACAGCCTAAATTGCAAAATCCACTCAATTCCTCTTCTAGATGTTCTTTATTGTTTATAGAGAGGCCTTAGTGCGGGAAACCAAGTTGATGTGAGACAGCGGAGTGATGAGGCCCAAGTGCGGAGGTGTGAGAGGCTTTCGATGGTGGGTGAGAGTAGAGGAAGAGGTAGGCCTAGTGTTATACTCGAGACCCGGGGTCTTATCACGTTGCTATTTTAGAGAAGGAATTATGGGGAGGTGAGGGGGAAATGGGGTGGCTGAAATATTATGGGGCAAAAGGGGAGTTCTTTTGGTGTTTTTTAATGAAGAAAAAGAATGAGATTAAGAGGAGAAATGGGGGGATATGAAATGGAAGAAAATTCAGGGATGGATAAACCAAGTTGGTGTTTAAGAGATATTACACACTCTTATCCTAACTTGGGATTTGAATCTAGAATTTAATTAAGATATGACACACTTAATTAAATATCTAGAACCTAAAACTCACACTTAAGATAACCACTCTTAAGATATAGAATTAGGGATTTGGCTAAAATAGCATCACACTATTTTATAAATACTCAAAGAGTAAAAGGAGTTTTTAATAATTCAGAGATGATCATTACAAGGGCCAAATGGCCGAAATATATAAGGAGGGGAGAGGAGGGAAA